TCACGTACATTACACATATAGGCTTCACATTTCTTGCAGATGATACGTCTAACGTGTATATACGAGATGAATTTAGTGAGTTTAGGTGTTAGCTTTTGTTTCACCTCTATAGATTTTCCATTATTGGTTTTCAGTTATAACACTCGTTGTTGACAATCAATAATTGCTTGATGTTCAGTAAGCCAATCCATTCCAAGGATAACGTCGAACTCCTTGTATGGTAATTTGACAAGATTTGCTGGGAATTGTTGTCCTCTCGACAATTAACAGACAGTCTTGATACACATGATGTAACCTCATGCTGTGTCCTAACGGGTTAGACACTAGTATAGGTTGTTCTAAATTTTTTTCATTATGTCAGCTTTGTCAGGCATAGGCACATAGATATAAGTTAACATCAATCCAGGGTCTATCAACACATGCATGATAGTATCAAATAAGGAAAACATACCCTGAATGAAGTCAGGGTTTTCCTCAGCGCATGCCTTCACTACATAGGTACGGGCAGGAGCTCATTCTTGTTGATTCTGATTCTTAGCAGGATTAGATCCCGCTGTTGAACGTTGACTTGGCGCAGGTCGTGCTGATGCTGACAACAGGGACCATTGGAAACGGTTTCCTAGGGTCAGTGGGGCATTCCTTTGAGAAGTGACGCCAAATTTTCAAGGCAAAAACGACGGCTGCAAGCTACAAGTTGTGCGTCGGATAGTTATCATCGTGGGGTTTTAACTGTCTTGAGGCGTAAGGAACCACCTTGCCATCCTACATAAGTACACAGCCCAAGCCACACAGAGATGCATCACTATAAATTGTGTACTCGCGACCCGGTTCCGGTTGAGTTGGCACCGGAGCCTTAGTCCAACTCTCCTTCAGATGGTCAAAGCTGTTCTGACATGCGTCAGACCACACAAAGTTCACATCCTTTCGCAACAGTCACTACAAGAAATGGTCTGAATTGCAACGGCCAAATCCGTTGCAATATTCATCGTATTTCGTTGCTAATGGACAATTGCAATGGAAATTTTGTTGCAAATTTGCCGTTGCAAAAACCATTGTTGCAGATTCCTTTTAGCAACGGATATTCCGTTGCATTAGCATTGCATCGGAAAATTGCAACAGAAATTGTCGTTGCAAGTATTTGCAACGGGAATTTGCAATGGAAATGACATTGCTAACTCCTGCTACGGAATTCTTGTTGCAACGTAATGCAACGGAATTTTGCAACGTCTTTTTAGTTGCATATTATTGCAACGCCAAATTGCAATCGAAATGTCATTGCTAAGAGCTGCAACAGAAATTCTGTTGCAAGGTGATGCAACCGAACTTTGCAATGCCTTTTCCGTTGCAGAATATTGCAACGAGAAAATGCAACCAATATTCCATTGCAATATTTGCTACAAAATTATAGTCACGTCCAACTGCAACAAACTATTCTGTTGCATAAGTTGAAAACAACCAACACATGATCAAACTACGTTCACCCTCAGTTTTGTGCAAGATTAACCATCAAATAAATGTAAGGAGTATCCTCAAACTAAACATAATATAACACATACGTAATCCACAAGATAAGTGTTTCAATTCAATATTTTTCATATTCTAAAATAAGAGTTAATGTACTTGTCACACAAAAAAATGTCTATTGTTTCTATTTAAAAAATTAAACTATTACACTAACATTGAGGTGCACTTCCAGCACCATCTCCTCCGTCCTCTCTACGGGGCAAGCGATCTCCAAACAATCTATGCATCTCTTCCATGATTGTTTAGGCAATAGGTTCACGACGCATTTGGATAATATCTCCCTTGAGAGATTCTACGATAGACGGTTGAGAGACAGCATATGATTCAGCAGCAGAAAGAAATATCAAACACTTGGTGACATTTACTACCAATTAACAAAAAGAACAGAGCTTAGACTTTAGATAATAAAATTTGACATATATATATACACACATATATTAGGATGTATGTGCGATGAAATTTCACTGACCGCTACTTCTCGTGATTTCTCATCAATGAACGTTACTTCATCATGCTTCTTTGTCTTTGTTTTCAAGAAGGTTCGAATGATAGCCCGATTCTCACCTCCTGTCTGAATCTGCATTAAATTAGCTTTTGATAAATAACTGAAGTTCACATATATGTTATTAATAACCAAACAACATTTGTCTTAATAAATACTAATGCTCACAGCTTAAGTGAGATTTTCTCGAAATGATAAAGGACCACTAGTATACGTCCCTAGTATACGTCCTTGTTGCACATTTATCTAGGCTGCCTTTTCGCCTATTCTTCTTTCCTTGTTCAGATTTTTTTTTTTGCTCATCACCACTCCAATCCTATATGCAAATCAAGAAATACAAGTTAATTTAAAACATGTCTAATGAATACTCTAAAATCAATTCATAAACAAGTTTTAATTTTAATAATTAGAGTCATGTACAAATGATGCTAAAGAAAGTTATTACCCCAACTAATTCAGTCCTAGATGCTAAAACAGTATGTACAAATGATGCTCATGAGGTTACTTTTGTAGCATTATTTTGTTTTTAAGCATGATTTATTTTCTTTGGTGGAGGGCCCAATGATTTATTTCCTTTGTTGACTAACAAAAAGGAGAAGTAAAGGACTGGGAGTAGGTTGGCAGAGACTTACGAAAAACAGAGAGCAAGAAGAAAAAAACAGAATAGAGAGATTGAGAAGGGCTGGTGCAGAATTTTCAGACCAGCCGCACAAATCCGATCATCGCCGGAGTTCCGACCGTTGGATTGAGCTGAAATTTTCAGAGGTTGTTCCCAACACTTAGGGCTTCAATCTGTTCAATTTTCACATCAATCAGAGCTACGGATTTTCTGTAATCACAGCTGGTGCATCGCTGCGTTTTTGGGTGATATCTCTGATTTTTCTTCTCTATTGTTGAATTTAAAATATGCAACACATGAAACACATAAACAACAACCAAAATAACAAAAACTTCATGCTACACAAACAAAATAGTTGTGAAATTTCATAAACTTTTACCTTTTCCCAAGCTTTCATTATAGACTGCATCCTCTAATAGCCCGCTGGGCCACCTACAATGCTTCTACAAAAGTTTGACACTCAAAAGAGTCATGCTGTTGTTTACACATAAAAACACGTTAATAAATTTTCGAAGCCCAACCCCTCCCCCCACCCCAATCACAGCCCCCACCCACCCCAAATCACAGCTCCTACCCATTCGAAGCCCAGCCCCCCAACCCCAATCACAACCCAGCCCTCCCACTCTCGACCCAACATCAAAAAGCTGTCAATTCCAGCCCACCCTTCCACACCTAGACCCCTTTCACCCTGCCCCAGTAGCATCCAAAAACTAAGTCTACGAAAATCACAAATCTATAGAAACACAAATACTAGAAAACCGAACAAATAAAGGCAACAATTTGAAATCAAATATTGGATTACTTACCTCAACCTTGATTGGAGCTAATTTGAGTACTTGCTTGCCTGTGACTGTGAGAATCGGCCGCACTAGATCTGAGAGTAGATCGGAGAGAAGAAGAGGAAGAGTCGGCAGTTTGAGTCGATTAAGGCTCAGTTCCGTTCAACTTGTCTGATCTGATCTGATTCTAATAAGTTCTGATCTGATCTGGTCTGATCTGATCTGATCTGATCTGATTGGATCTGATTTGATCTGATCTGATTGGATCTGATCTGATCTGATTGGATCTGATCTGATCTGATTGAATCTGATCTGATCTGATTGGATCTGATTGTATCTGATTGTATCTGATATGATCTGATTGGATCTGATCTGATCTGATTGGATCTGATCTGATCTGATTAATTATGATTTAATTTAAAATTTCAAATCAATAATTTAATTTGACTTTATAATAACGTTTGAAAATTGTAATGATAATTCATATTATAATATAATCAATATTTTTTTATTTAATGATTATTTTTTAATAAAATAAAAATAGATAATTCATATATTAGAATAATCATTCATATTATAATGTAATAATATTTTTTATTTTATGATTACTCCCTCCGTCCCTAAATGGATTACAATTTTTTTTCTCTCCTCTCGATAACTTTTGTTTGTTTACACGATTTCATTAAGTATTTGATAAAATAAAATATTCTTGTTATCTCTTGTTTCGTAGAACTTTTGACGTAGTTTTTTAATCTATCATTTTTATACCTTATTGATATACCAATTTGTAAATAAAATGATTTCAAAAAATAGGAAATTTTACTCCGTAACCCACAATTTGTAATCAAATTGGGGACGGAGGGAGTATTTTTTTGTAAAATTAGAATTATACATTAGAATAAATATTTAATTTAGATATACATTAAAAAGTAATTATATTTAGAAAATCAATATATAAAAGAGATAGTATTTTTATTAAAACATATCATCCTTATAAAAGATCAAAAGTTTAGAAACTCAAATTACAAGTAGCAATAAAAATATATTTTAAAAGTAGAATTAGATTGACATTGTCAATGTATTTTAAAACTAATTTTTCCAACGTTTAATAATTAAGGATTACTTTCTCGGTTTTTTTTATTTAACTTATTTCTAAAGTTTATTCTTTTTCATTTTTAAGAACAACAACAACAACAACAACAACAACAACAACAATAATAATAATAATAATAATAATAATAATAGTAATAATAATAATAATAATAATAATAATAAGTGTAATAATAATAATAATAATAATAATAAGTGTAATAATAATAAGAATAATAATAATAATAAGTGTAATAATAATAATAATAATAATAATTCTTGATGGGATCTGATTTTAATAAGTCTTGATCTGATCTGATCTGATTGGATCTGATCTAATCTGATTGGATCTGATCTAATCTTATTCGATCTGATCTGATCTGATCTGGTCTGATCTGATCTGATCTGATTTTAATAAGAATAAGAAAAAATAAGAAAAAATAAGTTAACGAAAAGGGGCTGGGAGAGGAAAAGTGGGAGACAATGAGCTTTGGCCGAGACTTCTCTCTGGCGACTTAAGGCTACTGTAGCCCGTCACCATTGCCATCGCTGTAGGAGCTTTGTTTTGTGGTTTCTTTTCTCTTTGACCTCGGATTCTTGTTCTCCATTTCTGGGCGAATCCACCCATAGGAGAAATCGTTGTTTACTGCTCCCTCTTGTGAGCTGTGGACGTTGACTTTGTTTGGTACTGTTCACCTTCTTCCCCGATGAACCTCTACTCTCTTCCTTGAAGTTCTTGCACTATGGGTTCCAGCAAAGCCCAGAGTACGAAGAAGGTCAAAAAGAAGAAAGGGAAAGGAGATGACTCGTCGCAACTACCGAGCATAGATACGGACGTTGCTGTTGAATTGGAGGAGAAGGAGAAGGACCAGGCTTATTCCTTCACTTCTGAGACATCACCTCACTGTGACGAATACTCCAGTGACCCCCCATGTGCTCGACGTTATGCCTCAGCCAGAGAAAGCAACTGCAAAGCTTGTCACCTTTACTGATCTTTTTAAGGGCAACAGAGACCCTGACCAAGGTATGATTTTGAAACAATATGATGCTGGTGAAGGCATCTTGCGTATTCCAGACTCAATTATCAAACCTGTTGAAGATATTTGGGGGTTTTGTCTTGTGGGCTGCTTTACTGGTCGTTTCCCTGGCATTAAAGCTGTCGATGCCATTGTTAAAAGCTGGAATATTCCCTGTAGAATCATACCCCATTGTAAGGGTTGGGTGGTGCTGAAATTTGAAAATGACAAGGACAGGTATGAACTGCTGGGAATGGAGAGGAGCAAGGCTTATGGCAAAGAGTTTAGGCTTAAAATACCCTCTCATGGCTTCATGTTTGACTTCGCTGAATTCACCACCTTGCCAGTATGGATTCAGTTACACAATGTTCCTTTGCAATTATGGTCAGAGGAGGGTATTGGGATGCTGGCTTCCAAAGTGGGTAAACCTCTTCGTACTGACCTGGTAACCAAACAACTTGGCAAAAGTGGTTTCTGCAGGGTTCTTGTTGAGGTGGATTTCTCTAAAGAACCAGTTACTAGCTTTGAGGTGGAATGTATGGGGAAAAACTATGTCCAAACAGTGGAATTTGAGGAGGAGCCCAAATATTGCTTCCACTGCCTGACATGGAACCATAGCCCATTCAACTGCAGAGCTTTGGAACAAAAGAAGAAGAAAGAATTGAGTAACTTGGTGGACAGCAAGGCTTCTCAAATGCAATCTAAAGGTGATCCTAATGCCAAGAACAAAGGTAGTGGGGGGTACACTGAACCTAAAGGGGGAAATATCCCTTCATCTTCACACACTGCCAAGGAGATGGAAATACCCTTTACTGCTGGGATTGGTGTTTTGACTAAGGTACCTAATCCTACGGAAGTTTTGACTAACGTCCCTGCGAAACCTGGGGAAGCTTTGGCAGGATTGGAGAAGAAAAAGAAGAAAGGACAGGATGGTGCTCCTGCTGGGAAGAAACAGGATTTTAAGAAGGGAGGTAAGGGGCCTGGCCCACCTCACAGATGAAGGTTCTGTGCTGGAATATTAGAGGACTAAACAGGTCCTCTAAGCAGAATTTTTTGTGTAAATATTTGTTGGAACTTGGTGTCCATTTTGCCTGCATTTTGGAAACAAAAATTTCAGGAACCAAGTTAGAGGGGTTTGTGAATGCCAAACTACCTGGGTGGAAATGGTCTTCTAATTTTGATATTATTTCTGGAGGCCGTATGGTTATTTTGTGGAATCCATCCGTTTTTGCTTGCAATGTTTTGAGGTTGGGAGAACAGTACATCCATTGTGAGACCCAGTGCCTCACATCACAAAAGGATTTTTGCTTTTCTTTTGTTTATGGGCTGTACACAGTCCCTAAGAGGAGAGAACTCTGGGCTGAGCTTACTTCACTTGCTGGAAACATGGCCAAACCTTGGGCCATTTTGGGAGACTTCAACTGTGTCTTGGCTTCTAATGAGAAGACCAACTGTATGAGCCAGGGTGCGTACTATATGAATGATCTACTCCTCTTCAGAAACTCCAACTGCCTTGAGGATGCACCTTCCAGAGGGAATTTCTTCACTTGGCATAAAGGGAACAAATTGGCTAAGCTGGACAGAGTGCTCATCAATCAGGGCTGGGATGACATTGGCCTAGCTCCTAATTGTGATTTTTTGGACTTCAATTTCCTCTCTGACCATTGCCCTATGCTTTTCCAATGTGGTAGCCAAACTGCCATAAGAAGCAAACCTTTTCGTTTCTTTAACATGTGGCTCAAGCATGATATCTTCCATGAATTGGTACTCCAGTCTTGGGAACCTGGGATAATTGGCTCCAAACAGTTCTCCCTGTGCTCTAAACTTAAGCGTTTGAAACCACCCTTGAAAGTGCTCAACAAACATGTTTTTGGCCATATTTCTAGAAGGGTCTTGGAGGCCAAAGAAGAATACAACTTGGTGATGAAGGAGGTGGTGGCAGATCCTAACAACCAAACCCTCCTTGAGGATGCTGAAATCAAAAGGAAGCGTGCCAACTTCCTTCTTGATGCTGAGCTTGAATTTTACCAACAGAAAGCCAAGTGTGACTTTCTTTTGAAGTCTGACAGGTGCACTAGTTATTTTCATTCCTTGGTCAAGAAGAATAGGAAGAAGACTGCTGTGGCCTTTTTGATTAAAGAGGATGGTACCAAAACCACCTCTAATGAACAGGTGGTCAAGTGTTCCTGGATTTCTACACTAATTTGTTTGGGAACACCACCCAGGTGGAGGCCATTTGTACTAATTATCTTGCTGCTGGACCTACTGTCCCCATTCCTGCCACAGTACTTTGCTTGCCAGCGTGAGTCTTGAGGAGGTTAGGGAGGTGGTCTTTGATATTGGGAATGATAAGGCACCTGGTCCTGATGGGTATACTGCTGCATTTTTCAAAAACCAATGGCCTACTGTTGGGAAGGATGTTTATGATGCTGTTTTAGAATTCTTTACCTCTGGGAAGCTGCTGAAACAAATCAATCATGCTATGATTGTTTTATTACCCAAATCTGCCCATAATCCATCTGTAAAGGACTTTAGACCTATTGCATGCCTAAATGTCCTCTACAAAATTATCACCAAAATCCTTGCTAGGCGTATGGCACCTCTACTGTCCGCCCTAATTGATCCAGCCCAAGGGGCTTTTGTCAAAGGGAGGTCACTTGTGGACAACTTGCTGCTGGCTCAACACCTGATCAGGGATTATGCTATTAAAAGGTCTACCCCTAGTTGCATGATCAAATTGGACATCGCTAAGGCCTACGATACAGTTTCTTGGAGCTTCCTCCGGGATGTCATGGTTGGTCTGGGTTTCCCAACCAGGTTTGTTGGCCTTATCATGGAGTGTGTTTCATCTGCTTCCTCATCCCTTATGATTAATGGAAACTGCCATGGCTTTTAAAACAGCAAGCGTGGTTTGAGACAGGGGGATCCCATGGCACCAACCCTCTTTCTTTTTTGTATTGAGTATTTGTCTAGGGTACTCAATACTAAAGCTAGAGAGGGTGTGTTTAATTATCACAAGGACTGTGTGGAGTTAAGGATTACACACTTGGCTTTTGCTCATGATCTTATGTTGTTTTCTCGGGGTGATTTCCAATCTGTTCAAATTCTTATGGATGCACTTAGCCACTTCTCCAGTGTGTCAGGTTTGAATCTAAATCCAACTAAGTCTAATATCTTCATTGCTGGTAAGTACAGGGAAATCAGCCACAATATTCTAGATTTGGCATCTTTCCCTCGTGGGCATCTTCCTGTTAGATATTTGGGACTTCCCTTGGCCTCCCAAAGGATTTCTGAAGCTGATTATCCCCCCTTGTTCAAATCTGTTGACGGTTTCCTTTCCAAGTGGGCAACCTTGAAGCTTTCTTATGCTGGGAAACTGGAATTGATTAGGGCTGTGATTCAGGGGGTGCAGTCCTTTTGGCTACAGGCCTTCCCAGTCCAAAAGTACGTCCTGGATCGCATTACAGCTTTATGCCGTAA